TTTTTCAAAGATTATGTAATCTCGATTATTTTCGTTCTTTCTTTATTGCCTTTGCTTTCCCTCTCTACTATTTTCTTTCTTTCATGCATTTTTTTATTTACTTCTTTCTTCCTTCATTCCTTTCTTTTTTTTTACACCTTTCTTTTTTCTGTTTCTTTTCTTTTTTATGCTTTTCTTTTCTTTTATGTCTCCCAGTTTCTTCTGTCTTTACTTCACACCTTTCTTTTTTGTTTCTTTTTTTCTGTTTTTCCTTTCTTTTAGGTCTTCCCTTTCTGTCTTTTTTATGTCTTTCTTTCATTCTTTTTATTTTTATTTTACATCTTTCCTCTATGTCTTTTGTGCATCTTTTCTTTTTTCGTTTTTTTCTCTTTCTAACTTTTCCTTTAATATATCTCTTTTCTTCCCTTATGTTGTTCTTTCTTTCTTTCTTTCTTTCTTTCTTTCATCCTTTCTCTCTTTTATGTCTTTCGTTCATTGTTTTTTTTCTTTTGTTCTCGTTTCTTTCTTTCTAGAATGTCTATTTTATTTTCTTCTATTTTTGTTTGTTTGTTTTTATTTATTTCTTTTACATTTTTTCGTTCTTTCTTTCTTTTTTCATAGATTATCTATTCTTTTTTTTTTACTTTCCAATTCAATTTTCCTTTTCCTGTTTTTTCCACTTTTTCTTTCCACTTCAAATCTTATATCATTTTTCTTTCTTTCTTTCTTTCTTTCTTTCTTTCTTTCTTTCTTTCTTTTATTTAATATTTGTATCTTCAATTCTAGACTTTTTACCTACATGAAATACTGTTTTACTTTCTTTGTTTCCTAAACCCCCTTTGACATTTCATATTCCAATGTGTCACTCAGTCGAACCCCCGTGTCTCTTAAATTTATCTGTTTGCAACTAACAACGACTGATTATTTAATACCTCGGAAATCTTCGATTCCTCTTGGTTTCCCGCTTTTTCCCAGTCACTCAGTCACGTGTTCTACAGCATCGATGCAACGTCTGTCTGTGATTCAGTAATTCGTTTAGCGGTCTTCCCCGATCCGAATCAATAATCTACACATGGCTTGTCTGCTTAACAGCGGGGTTTTGTTTCCACGTGTTTCGCGTAGAACACCATTCATGGCGCCAGGCCGATTTAGCTGATACCAATCTTTGGTTAAATACTCATAACGCGAAAACATTAAGGGATTAATCGATCGAAGCGCTTTACATCAGTTAAAGTAGACGACAAAGCGGTGATATATTTGAGGTTTGATTTAGAGACAGGGGAGTAAAGATAATGATTTGAAATCGATTTCAGTAAGAAGGAAAAAGGATTTGAAATAATGTAATACATTCTATGATTCTTTTTTGGGAGCTGTCCAATTTTTGTGATATTTATAATTTTTGTTAGGAATATGTATTTTGTTCGGAATATGTATTTTGTTAGGAATATGTATTTTGTTTGGAATATGTAGTTCGGTAGGAAGTCCAGATAAGATTCGAGTCTATAAAGTTGCTGGGTTCTTTGGAGATAAAATGACTGCGTTATTTTCGATCATAAACTATTAATATTTAAAGAAATCGGAATATGTGCTGGGTCTTTGATAATTCAAGTCATTACCGTGTGTTTCAGAGTTTAATGAGAGTTTTTATGCTCATTTTTCATGAAAAATAGTCGGTTGCAATATACACAGGTATTTATTTCTATAGGGGTTAAAATGTATCCTGCAAAATTTTAAGAGTTGCACTACACATAAAATCGGCTTATACGTGAGTATATACGGTCATATGAATAACTTCCTTTTATGTCGAGTCACCAATTTCATGAAGGAAAAACTATAGATTACTTCACTGGAAACAATGAAAGAAAGAAGGAATTGTATCAAGGATGGTGTTTCATCGGAAGAAAAAAAATTCGTAAACAAAATTTTTATAGGAGGGTAATTTTACGCGGTTAGTTTTTCTGCTTTTATTCTGAATGGGCTACCCGTCACATACCCACCATTACGTCGGGTATCTGAAAGGAAGGCGCAAGAAGCCTTTAAGTCTCTCGTAATAAGATTGGAAATTCCAAAACACAAAATCCACCCGAAGAAGGCAGAACGTTTACACGACGGAAAATATGTAGAATAAAAGACATAAATGCAATTACTCGAACCAACTTCATTCACTTATTAAAATCCATCGTCCAAGAAAATTCACATAAGAATAATAATGTTTTTGGTGTCTTCTTGTATAATATTTGCTTATAAATTGTAGCAGGCTGCTGTTCAGTTCATCTACGTAAATTTTGTATTTTTTTTTCATCTAGTTTATTTATTTGTACTTTCTCTCGTTTGGCTAGGGGTTCTGTCATCATTTTTTATCCTCCTAATCGTAAAACTGTCGACGCCTCGGGCGCAGCAAATTCAGTTTTTTTCCTTTTGCCGCCAAGAGCCAGTCTTTCAAAATCGATTTGACGTGTTTAGCACCAGAAAAATTTTTAGCGACTAGGATTTTTCCTCTTAAGACGCCGACATTTTTTAATACAGTACTCCAGTGATAAATATATTTTTTCTTTTTGCTATCTTTCATTCATTCAGTTGTTCATTCCTTCACTGAAGGAATCAGTCTTTCTTTACAGTATGTTTTATTTACTTAAGAACATTTTTTTTTTATTCCAGTTCATTATTTTTGGTTTTTGTAATTTCTTTATTTTTGTTATCGTTCTGCATTTTTTGTTCGTCATATTTTTCGTTTTTTTATTTCCTTTTGCTTTTTAAAAAATTTTTTTTCCTGACTTTTTTCATTTTCGAATTTTCGTTTTTGTCGATTCCTCTTATTTCTCTTTTCTTTATCCATCTATTTTTTGTTTTTATTTTGTAATCCTTTTTTCTTTCTTTTAACGAATTTTTCTTTTTCCAATCAATTTCTATTTTTTTTATTTCATATATTTGCTACATTTTCCCTCGTATTTTATTTTTTTATTTCATTCTCCATGATTTCTTTAGCCAAACATTTTTAGCGTTCAATTTAAAAAAAGATTATATTTCGCTAATTAATTCATTAATTAAGTTTTGGTAATTTTCCATTCCGATTTTTTCCTTCATTTTTCATTGTTAATTATTTTTTTCAATTTCTCGCATTTTCCATCGACAACTACAGTTTCGTTGTAACTTTTGTTTCGCCTGCTTTTTTCATTTAATTTTTTCTTCTTTTTCATTTAATCTTTTCTTCTTTTTCATTTAATTTTTTTTCTTCCATTGGTTTTCTCTCACTTTCGGGTTCGTACGAACTATTATTTGCCGTCTGCTGCAAACACATTGGCTCGATGCATGTAGTAAATCTTGATGCATTGATAAATGACAATAATTCATAAGTCTGCTGTCACCACCATAATTCCACTATCACGAGATTAAAAACAACAGCAAATCCACCAAGCGCAAATAGCAACAACATAACTGATGACAAAATAAAATGTACCAACTTATACTTAGGATCAAATAAGCAGTAGGACCATCTACAGAGAGATCTAATTATAGCTAATCTTGTTTCTGATTAAGTGATTGTATTTGATTTAGGATAATCAAAGAAAAATAAATCATCTCACGATTTTGTTCCTATGGACGGAGTAACTTTTCTTACAATAGTGTGTCTTTCGCAAGATGTCTAATGATATTTATTCCGCTTATACACAGAAATGTGGCACAAGGCCAAAATGGGGAAAAGGATGGTCTCCTTCTGTCTTATCGTTAAACTTAGCTAGCCACAAACACTAACGCAAACATACAGCAATATTCCTTACACCAAAACAACACATTCTCACTTACCATTCTTTGTTCATTCACCATAATACCTTTGAATCTCCATGAACTCCTAACTAGTCACCAATATGTACAATTCATTGTCTGTGGAGGGAGGGAAATAAAACAACAATTTAGAAATTAACCTCAATGAATATTTATAATATGAAAACAAAACTATTTACAAGAAACCAAACTAAATAAAGTTAGTACTATCTCCCCCACCCAATCCTTAAAAGCAGCAGAAACATCAATTAACAGGACGAAATCAATGCGGGGCTCTGATACTATAAAACATTCAATCATTCCTTCGCAAGATATCTAATTTAACAAATGAATGGTAAATGTCGTATTAATTTGGGCGATATGAACGCTAGAGAATATTTGCATAATTTTAATGATTATTTTCACTTTAATTGAATAAAAAATTACAAAAAAATATATTATAATTCTATTAGATGATAAAGTAAATAAAAAGGGAAATAAAACAAATTTTTGATTTCCTTATTTTATATTTTTTAAGCCATTTGTTATTCATTGAAGCATTCCATACTAAAAAAAATCACCATATTTGTCCCTTTTTCTTTTTAAAGTTACGCCTACAGACATGTTACAGTTTTTGGCTTGTTCGTCCAATTTTATTTATAGACAATTACTACAGTAAATTACGTAATCTTATAAATCTTAGTAAATAGAAACGACATGAATGAGTTGTCAGTCTTTTTTTAAGACTGAAATCATGCATAAATAATGGTATCATTTGATAATATATACTTGATGATATCTACTGATCTTCAATGAAAAAAATGCTGTTTACGTGTTAAACAACGAATCTTATGATTTCGGGCAGTGCAGAAAATGTCAACATTTAATATGTATGTTTTGCATCGAAAATAATAAAAGATCCAGTGCAGCTGAATTGTCGTGAAAATAGAGCTTCCGAGATAAAATTATTATTTTGCATTATAATTTAACGTCAGGTTCCCACTCCTCTCGGCCTCTTTAAATAGGAGTAGTAGTTTATCCCTTGTTTCCTGTTTAGGGTTGGGTTTCCGGTTCCTTCTACAGTCGATATCATCCATATACTCTTATCCCTGATCGTTTCCTACCTTAGTATAAGTCCACACAGCAATCCTCTACTTTGAATGGTCCTTGGGTCTTGTATATTAGTAAAAAAAGAAAGAAGCTGTAATTATTATTATATTTTTTTTTAATAATTCAATGCATTTAGATATTCATTCCAGATGTCTACTCCTTGTCTCTGTGGAATTCTCAAATCCCGAATACCGTCCCCAATATCCTTGCAGACCTCAGCAATATCGTTGTCTGGATATTTTGACGTTCGTCTTGAGTTTCTATTTCTTTCAATGTCGCCTGCAGCGAAGTTGAGACGGTTTTATGTGTGTCAATTATGATCGGAACGTTTGAAAATTTTATGTTAGACTGCTCCTTCCCGGACGGAATCCTGGAATTTCATGGGGTCGGGGTGTCGATCTTCGCTCTGTGTCTCAACAATCTTGGTCACTTAATTCTTATTCTTCATATCTATTTGATATGGTTTTGATGCTTAGAATTTTGCGTTCAGTCTGGAATTCAATCTCACCGAATATTCTGTTTAATTTTAAGATAGATTATGGGGACTTAAACGTCTTCTCGTTCAGAAATATCAAACTCCAGTCGGCATACAGTCACTTTAACACATCAATAATTAAAAATGGCACCAAAAGAATGCAGCTTGTAGGTCTGGTCGGGCACCATTCTTCTTCGATCTCTGTGGACTGCGGCTACAGAATCACAACCAAAGCACTGCACAAGATACCATAAATTACATCATTTGAAGACTTCCAACAGTAAAACTAAATTGTATATCATATGTAACTCGAAGAGAAAATAAAGGCAATCAAAATGTTGACATTCTGAAGCAATTAAAAAAGTTTAGGAAGAAACCCCCCTCCAACCATCTTCAATACTGGATTGACCGATAACAATTAGTGGACTTGATAGACCTATTTTCTTGAAACAATGTTTTAAGAGAAAGATTTATGAAAATTCAACTGTTACTTTTTTTCAAAACACTCCGAAGAAGGAATATTTCTTTTCATTATTTGGATCCAGTGACAAAATATCTTTTAACATTTGTGTTTTTCATTTTATTATTCTTAGAGTATAATTTTAGTATTCTCTGAAATTCTCTTTCTTTTTGGTGCCATTTTGGTCTCTTCGTGTCTCGATTTATGGTTTCTTTTATATGATTCCAAGTGTGCAACTGATCCTTGTTTTCTTTGCAGAGATTTCTGTAAGCACCTCTGAGGGCATTATGAGAACTACATTTATTGTTTCATAGCCTGATAATTTATCAGTTCCTATGTAATATTTTATGATTTTGTTACTCGACTGGTTGGAGTAATATAGTTTTAATATCCAATTCAATAAATTTTCACAGGCGACTTGAATTGTATGTTATATTTGATTACCCCAAATATTATGCTTGATAATTTTTGATCACTTGAGACTTATTTTTATGTACAGATCTTTTGTTTGTTTATGTCTGAACGAATCTCGCTTGATTAATTCTTAATAAACAACTCACGGCAGTCAATCGTGATTGTCGTCCTGGGTATGATGATAAACTACATTCGCGTCCAGGGTAAGACGATAAACTGCATCCAACAGCAAAGCCTTTGATCAGGAGGTTTTGAGGAGCGTGGAACAACCTCTTAATTGCTGGCGTTCACAGGTCCACCCTGACACGAGGTGGTAGCACCTGTTAGGGTCCCAGCTATGGGCAAACCCTGAAACTGAGCTAAAAAGCATTATAAAAGTGTAAAAATAGGTTTTAATACCAGAAATACTTTGTAAAAAATTATTACCAGAAATAAATTTTTGAAGAAAAATAAAACTATTGCCAGCAATATATTTTTTTGAAGAAAAAAATATTACCAGCAATACGTTTTTGAAAATAATATAACCAGCTATACATTTTGAGGGAAAAAATATTACCAGAAATAGATTTTTGACAAAACAAAATATTAAAAGGAAAAACAATGTTGTCGGCATTAAATAGCATATTGGGGTTGATATGCCTTTAAACAAACCAAACCAAACCAATCAATCGTGTTTGTTTATGAAATTCATTTAAGCGAGTTTTATGTATTCACTTATATTTTCTAATTGAATTAACGTAGGAACTATGATGGCATTGTGAAGAATTGAAGAAAAAAGTGAACGTCGAAATAAATAATGTAATTCGCAAAGCGAACGATCGCGAAAATCATCAGTCAGAAAACAAATGAAACACTTAGAAATTTTAAAAATAGTAAAACGATGAAAGGAATAAAACTGTTGTAATCATTTTTGATAGCAATGACTGTAAAAGCACCTCCTCACCAAATTTATAAACAAATCATACAGATGTACATCCTTGTGCAAATTAATTGAAACAATCGCTTCAGTTTCCTTTTTTACACCTTGCAGTCAATTTTAGAACCACTGATTTGGCAAAATGTAATCGATTTCTATTTTTTTCTCAGATTAGGTCATTTGCCAGTGGTGCGCAGTAATATGAATCTATTTTCGGGGTGTAGAGTTAAATTTGTTTGGCTTTAAAAAAAATTGCATCCTCCAGGATTGCATCTGATTTTTATCACAGCCATATACTATTGTCTCGACTGTCGATTAGTTGTCCTATGGCCTTTGTCTGCGATTGACATTACTCCAAGGAAGTGTACGAAAATTGTAACGCTACACGAGAACACACGCAAACTTTAACAATGAGCAAATCAAAATACTATAGACTAGCCCGGAAACTCTCCTGATTTAAATCCAATCGAGAATCTGTGGTGAATCTGCAAGGAAAGCCCTCGAATGATGGTCATAGGAAGCAATGACATGTTCACTGAGACATGTTTTATTGGAAAAATACGAAAATAAAATAAATAATAATGGAATTATTCGTTTTGTTTCAATGAATTTGCCCAAGGGTGTATGATTGGATTTCTTCGTAACAAATAAAATAGAACATTCTCAGTCTCATCCGCTATATTTTTTTGTTTCTTGTCTTGAAGATGTCTTGATAGTTACTCGAAATCTACTTGATGGAGGATTCATTTAACATTTTTCGCGTTTTCATTCTACATGTTAAAATGAATCTGAACAATAGATTGTACTTGGATTTTTTTTATATATATTTAGATATGTGTTGATGTATAGGTGGTTGTATCTCAGCATGTCCATCTCTATGTTTTCCTACATGAAACGACGGAAGTATTAAACTATATTCGTTGGTCTTTAAGCACATTGGAATAAAAGAAAAATTACAACAAACCTTCTCATATCTATCTATCTATCTATATATCTATCTATGTCTCTCTCTCTCTCTATATATATATATATATATATATATATATAACGTGTGTAGAAATGTACTCTTATTTATGGGATAAAGTGCTCAATATCAGAGATAGAGGGTGTGGAAATATAAAAGTGAACATTGAAGTCAACACTTAGAGGCGACAGGCTGTTTCATGCTAGACGCAATCGTTAAGCCACACACACATATATATATATATATATATATATATATATATATATATATATATATATATATATATATATATATATATAGAAGAGAGATGTCAGACTCTTCCTTATTTTCTCTCTCTCTCTATATATATATATATATATATAAAAGTGGACATCAATGTCAACAGTTTGTCACCTAAGGCGGTTGACTTCAATGTCCACTTTTATATTTTGTAATTACATATGTTCTATCTCTGATATTGAGCACTTTATCCCATAAATTTAGCATACTTTAAACTATATTTCCACACACACATACATATATATCTATCTCTCTCTCTCTTTCTCTCTCTCTCTCTCTCTATATATATATATATTATATATAGATAGATAGATAGATAGATAGATAGACAGACCTTAACCAAATACCGTTCCAAATGCAGTGATGTGTCAAATATATTGTTTACCAGCAAAATATTTATGTGTGGGAGACATCACGCTTTTCTAAAAGTCTCATCTACGTACACAAGAGAAAATTGACCTAATTCTTTCTTTTTGCATCGAAACGATGATGGACATAACTTTGATCTCACTAATGCCACCCTAATTATAAAAACGAGCATAATTTTTTAAGGAGAAAATACTTTGAAAACGTACAAATCCACGCCTAAATCATTACATTAAATCGTCAACGTTCTTTGAATCCATTCAATCGCTTGACTTCATCCCTTTTCCATGTTAATATTTTTTTTACATTGTGAATATTTGTTGTTTGCTTAGAAATATTATGTCATTTTTTTCTTTTCCATTTCGTTTGTTATCATTTATTGGAAACTTTGTCTATTCCGTTTTTAGGGCATTTTCTGACAATTGCCCTTAATGTTTGACAATTACGGAATAAATCAGTGTCAAGTCGAGACGAAGATGGAAACTGTTGGGGTTTTCATGAAGTTACTCTCGATTAATCAAAATCCTCGACTGACAGTACATTCTCCAACAATTAATAAACACGAAGAAAAAATATAATAGAATATCCAGACATTAAGATCAAGTGCAGATAAATTATGGATCGGAATCCGACAGGATAAAAAAAAAAAAAAAAAAACAGATAGGAATCGTATATCAATCTAGGATGTTTCATTTTTGTTAATCCTTCAACAGAGATTGAGAGAAAACAAACAAAAAGACAGAAAATACTTTACAATTATGTTTGGATCAATATTCATTTGTTAGATAGGTTTCACATGTATTAAAACCGTCGATAATTCTATATTTTAGGTCGGTGCAAATTCTTGTATTTCTAAGATGGTATCGGATGGTAATGTATATTTGGAATTGTTTCTGTAAGTTTGTCTCGTTGTTTTTTTTTATCTTCACCTTTGTGAGATCCATCTTCTTTTTTATCTTTTATCTTCACCTTTGTGAGGTCCATCTTCATTTTTATCTTTTATCTTCCCCTTTGTGAGGTCCATCTTCATTTTTATCTTTTATCTTCACCTTTGTGTGGTCCATCTTCATTTTTATCTTTTATCTTCACCTTTGTGTGGTCCATCTTCATTTTTATCTTTTATCTTCACCTTTGTGAGGTCCATCTTCATTTTTATCTTTTATCTTCACCTTTGTGTGGTCCATCTTCATTTTTATCTTTTATCTTCACCTTTGTGAAGTCCATCTTCATTTTTATCTTTTATCTTCACCTTTGTGAGGTCCATCTTCATTTCTAACTTTTATCTTCACCTTTGTGAGGTCCATCCACGCAGCGGGGAGTCGCAGGGTTCTAGTTTATGGCTCGAATGTTTAAGAATCTATTTTTGTATTAGATTGATAGAAGTTCGAATGTTTAAGTATGGATTCAACGAAAGTTGGCGATTTAAAGCAATGTTTTAGGCGTGGATTTACAATTTATAATAATGTTATTATTACGTTTTCAATGTATTTACTTCTTATTTTCTCCTTGTTCTTTTTTTTTTTAATTAGGTGAGTATGAATGAAATCAAAATTATGTCCAGCATTGTTTCGATGTAAAATGAAAGACT